ACAAGCAGTGACGTCATAGTGAAATAGGGCAATTCATTACATTGACCCCCTTCCCTTCAATCAAATTGCTATGATTATTGACGTCATGAAATCTTCTCACCCTGGCCAACCATTTCTCCCTACACCCTGCATACCCAGCTTGCATGCCCTAGTAAATGTAAGCCGAGGGAAAAAGGCCCCGTCTATACGTATCCGGATATTTTTGAAAACGGATTTATTAAACCCGTTTTCAACAACGAAAAAATCTTGTCCACACTTAACGTCCTTGAATCGTTTTCGTCATCGTCCACACGTATCCGTTTTCGAAAAGTGGCGTTGACGGAAAGCCAATCCACGACGATTTTTTTTTTAATTTGAAAAATATCTGGATACTTGTGGACGGGGCCTAAACTCGCTGTGAAATACTCACCACTACCATCACTTTTACTGATGTAAACACCCGTAGGTGACACAGACATTCTCAGGTCTTCATGTTTCCATATGTCTTCGTCTGCTTCAGGAAACAGGAGAGAGTTGCACATTTTGGTGTCGTAGAGATCCTGGAGCAGCATTTGCTGAAAGAAAATCGCCGTCATGATCATTAAGATATATCATTGTTATCGCCCATCATCATTCATGGTCTTGTATAACTGAATTGGCCACGCAAGCATTGTCATTAAAAATCATGATGCTATAAAACCGAGGAAAAATTTGCGCACTCTCAGATCTACAACCATGGAGTATCTAGAAGAAAAAAGATCTCGTCTGGTGACCTATGGTGACAGATCTTTTTACGTTGCTGGCCCTAAACTGTGCAATGACCTCCCACTTCCAATTAGGAAAAGTTCTTCAATCCAATTATTTAAAAATGAACTGAAAACTCATTTGTTCAAGAACTTTGTCTCCTCTGGTTCAAAGTGAACATCAATGAACTATGACATTTCATTAATATTGTAACATACGTCTGGTATTTATTTTATTTCTTATTGTGAAGCGCCATGAATTTTGATATGTGCGCTATATAAGTTCCATTATTATTATTATACAATGTCGTCGCACATCATCAATTTCACGCATTATCATACCTAACAATTTGAAAAAGTCATCATCTTCATTACTATCTCATTACTATCATATAGACCTCTTGCATGTGAAGTCAAAGCAGCTCAATTTGGAGAGCAAAACAAATAATTTAAATCTCCTGAGAATTGGAACCCTATTGTTACGTCCTCCAAATTGAGCTGCATTCTGACGTGCTGTAAGAGGTCTATTGATATCGTTCAATATCATCATCATCACCATTATCATCACCACCAACATCATCATCATCATCATCATCACCATCATCACCACCAACATCACAACCACCATGATCATCGTTACTCAGAGAAGACCAAACGCACTTGGTATTAAATGTTTTCAAGTCTCAAGAATCATCACTCTCAAGCAACATGATCATACACTTTATTAATTGCAAATATTATCATAAATAATAAAAAATTACAATAAATAATCAGAGTAATGGACTCCGGCTTACCTGGTTGACAGTACGACACTTCTCATGGATAGCATTGGTTACTGTTTCTATGAGACCTTCAGCTTGCGTAGATGACATCTTGGTATATTCAGAATGTCTGTAGGAATATAATCAAGGATAATCATTCACTGAAAAGTGTGTTAAGTCGAGAAAATCTAAGACAAAAAGTAGGTGACGAGGGTATGGGTGTGGTTCCTTATATAAAGTTTTTTCTTCTAATGCTAGACCACAATGCATTTTTTTGTACAATCTTCTAAGGGAAGACAAGTTTTCTATTGGGTGGGGTGGGGTGGGGTGGGGGACGAGACTTCAGAGGTAAGGGTCATCAATAAAATTTTTAAGTTGTGTAGGGTCAAACCTCTTTAGTTTGACGTTCCTTGTTGACTTAATAGGGGGGCCATGGATTTCTTACTGATTTAAGGGGGAGGGCTACAACCATTTGCAAGACGTTTACTGCGATTCCCCCAGCCCCCCCCCCCCCCCAATAAAAACGTCATCAATCCCCCATAAAAAAACCTTAGTTTTTCAGAATCGCACGAAATCTGCTGCAGCACTTCTTACCTTGCATGAAAATAGATGTCCACATAGTTATCGCAGAGCCGAAGGACGAGCCAGAAATTCACCTTCTTTGACGAGTCCTCTCTACGTTTGCTTGGAATCCTTGGACTCGTCGTGGGACTTTTTGAAGGTTGTTCACAACCATTCTTTCCTGGAAAATCTTTTTCTTGATCTTCAGCATCACCTACACACAAGGTTGGATCTTTGTCCAAGATATCAGATTTATGATTGGCTGATATAACACTGCTAGAATCTTGTTCCTTGTCCAAAGACTTATCTTGATCTTCTTTTATCGTAACAGGTGTGGAAGTGGTGACTACCGGAGTTGGAAATTCGCTAAATGGCGTAACCAGCTGTTCACAACACGAATCTTCTTCAGGAGACGTTAACACAGTCAGGGGCAGTGATAAATCAACTGGAGTTAAAACAGCGTCGCTGTCTTCGGATTCTTGCTTGGTAGGTTTTTTAACCGGTAGTCGTTCTTTGGTGGCTCTAGACAACGATTCATCAGGTCGGTCCACATCTTGTTTACTTATATTGGTTGAATTTGCTTCGAATAAAGTTTCATCGTTAGCAGGGCCCTCTTGTTTTGCGTGTCTTTCGCTTCTTTCATCGAAATCACTCTCTGTGCCTGACACTTCACTAACTTCTTCATGACCAAGACCGGCTTCCCCCTCCAGGGAATCAGTGGTCAGATTCGTGGGAGAGTTTTTCTTGTCATTCATTTTCAAACGAGATGGGCACTCTGCACTGGAGTCTTGCCCAGAAGAACGTTCATCTGTAATATCAGTAGAATTTGATCCACTTTTGAAGAATGACTTGGTCTTGGATAACATATCATCTTCGACCACAGCATCATCACTTGGTTCAGGCTCTTTCCCTGATTCTTCTTCTCCATCCAACTGCTCATTTTCATCCTCTTGTGACATGCCACTGTCTTCATCAGACAAGGTCAAGTAGTAATAGTCATCCACTTTACTCATCTCATACTGGTGGATTTTAATCTCTTCGATTTCTTTGGTGAAAAGCTCCATGCTTTGCTCAGCACCGAACACGAACTGCAGTGGAACGTTTCTGTAGATGCATAATGGATGACTAACTGACTTTTGGACATGTCGCTCGACCTTAACAAAGATATAAGAAACAAACTTTTAAAATGAGGCGAGTCAACAGTTATACAGAAATCAATGAAATTTGAGTAGGTCAATAAGTGTTCAAGAATAGAATGCAAATATAAGAAAACAAACTAGTTAAAATCAAAAAGAGTGAAAGCAAAAACGAGCAAGTCAACTTGCAGCAAGCGGTTTATAGATAAGCAATCAAAGAGAAACGAAAGAACGAACGAACGAACATACG